AATAGCTGCCCCATCATTTCTACAATAGCGGGGAAAGAAACTGAGATACGACATTGATCATTTCCTCAGTGGTTAATAATAATAATTAATAATTAACAATTGGAATGATCCTAAAGATTTATAATTGACATATAATCTCCTCTATTTGCTATTTAATGGACACAAGTCACTCAATAATTTATTTGTATAACATTAAAAGCAATCTTCAATGGTTTCTAACATGAGTAATATGTTCTAGATACTGATTGTGGAAGAAATGCTATATGTAAAAATATTTCCTCACTGCCTGGCACTGAATATGTAGCCAAAATGCTCATTTCTGTATGTGAATTGTATAATTACGCAATAATTGCTAGAAGTTGGTCATTACTCGTAGACGTTAACCACCTAGAGGTAATTTTCTGAGGTAGGTTTAGGGCAATTGTTGAGTACTTTTCAACAAGTTAATCACTGTCCATAACAATGATATACTTGTGAAAATTTAAGTTAATAGCAGCTCTTCATAATGTTAATATTAAATCTTTATTTGAATTAAAGATGTCAGTTTGTTTTTCTCACCACCATCACTGTTTATATCGATAAGATTTCTCTCCTGCATTAATTTAGAGAAGAAAGAATTTCCCCAAATTCTTTTTTTTTTTTTTTGGTAGTGCTTTTGTTCCTGATATGTTCAGACACTAACTGTTGGGAGAAAATTGCAACTTCTGTTTAAGGGACAAATTGATAAGAATGCAGTTTCAGGAAATCCCTTTTTTGTATATATAAATCCCAGTTGGAATTGAAAATTTAAATGACACCCTTGTTAATACCAGTATGTTGTTTTTAGAGAATCATTTTTTTAAAAGATGGTTAGAGCGCCTGTGATGGAAGTCTCAGTCCAAGTTAGATCAGTTGAGCTATAAAGAATCTTGAACTATAAAGAGTTTTTGGCCAGGGTGCATACCACAGAAATATGTGTTCTGTGACTTCCAGATTGGATTACTGTAATATGCTGTATATGAGGCTATCTTTTACCACAACCACTGAAACTTCAGATAGTGAAGAATAAAACTACCCACCTGTTGAATGGTGCTTCTCATTCAGAGTTTTGCATGATTGTTACGGCTTCCAGGTGATTTCTGAGTCCAATTTAAGGTGTGCAATATGGTTTGATTCCTGAGTACCTTAGAGAGGGGGATGGCTGCTGGTGGGGCATCTTTTAAAAAAAAAAAAAAAAAAAAGAGGTCCTCTACTCTGAGTGTCACCATTAGCATTGGTCCTGCAGGGGCTAGATTGGTTGACCTTTAATTCATATTGCAAACCGAATCTTTTCTCCTGGGCTTTTTGTGAGAAAGTGAACTGATTGGGTAATAGTGGGTGACAGTGGAGTCTCAGTTTGGGTGGAACAGGGAGGGATTTTATATTTTGGAAATTGATTCCACTTCGTATGTTTCACAAAACAATATACAAGTGCCCAATATACAAGTGCAGAGCTTAAAAATTGAAATAAATAATTCTCTCAAGCATAATCCTTTGCTCTACCTTGATATGAGAGCTGTTAGTTGGGGTCAACAGCAAAACCAGATATTACAGTTTTTTTTTTTTCTGCATAAGCTGGCAGTGATGCTTCTTATTAAGAAATGGGACATGGCATTAGGGTTTGATTTAGGATTAGGTTTGCCATTCCAATTCAAGGTTAAAACGGGGAGCATTTGGGTTTGAAAGTGCTAAAATCTCTCAAACTGTTCTGTTTGGCCCAAAATGACAAAGAAACCTCTGAAAGTCAGCTGCCTTTGCAAGACTTTCTCCATGGTGGGCCAATAACTAAACTAGATCTAGAAAAACAAGCCCTTCATTGTTCTGGGTCCAGATATGACCCAAAATCCTAAGGGCAGTGTGATGTGATGTGTCTGGCCTTCTCTGTCTCCTGCTTGGGGTGTTGCCACCCTGACACACTCCACCTAGAAAAAAGTGTCAGAGGGACTATGAGTTCTGATCTCCAAGCACAGTCTAACATTCAGTCTGTGGTATTGACCGAAGCAATAAGACATGGTCCTCCAGAGTCGAGAAGGGCTGGGAAGGGGCAGTAGCCAATCAGGATCCACCAAGAGAGATAAGAAGGCTTGCCTGCTTCTTCTGTGGAGGAGTGCTGGGTGAAGCTGAACAGGAGCGGAGTTCCCTTGGGTTTAATCCAGAACCCCAGGTCCTGATCAGGGCCTAGCCATCCTCTGTACCTTCACCTGAAGGAATGTGACAAACTGGGTATTTTGTTCTGAGGTTCAAAGATTCAGGTGGCCAATTTTTGAGTCGTACTTTAACTGTTGAAGGACGAGGAAGGAGTTCCTTGCATGAACTGCCTTGCTCTGGGCAAGCTGTGACAGGCAGGTTCAAGATTCTGGGATTCAGAATACCTCTGAAATACCAGACTGGGACATCAAGCCTGGTGTTCTGGCCAAATTTTACTTCAGTTACTATATTCTCTCTATCACAACTTCCTCTTTAATTATGGCCGGGTAGGTACAGTGTGTCCAAACTGTTGTAGGAGTGTTGCTATAAGCTTGTTACATAGTTGCAGCATTTCATTTCGGATGTGAGCAAACTAATACCTGAGGGCCAGATTCTGCAGTCCTTTACTGAGCAGATCAATGGGAGTTTTGCTTTGTTTTTATTAAGTACTGCTAAATTTGGCAATTTCTGTGTAGTTTGTTCCAAGGTAAACAAATCTCTTTAAGGTCTGTTTGTATTAAAGGTGCTATGTATATGCAAGACCCATGTGATTACAATACCTATAGTTTAGTTGTAGAACTTGAAACATCCAAATGTTTTAACTTAAACTGGAACCATAGTTGTCTAAACAAATATATGGCCTCATTGCTGCTTGAGGTGACAATAGGATTTTATTATAACTTCTCCCTACATATAAGTTTTGCCAGCTAACGTAGGGATAGGCCACAAATGATGAGAAGCCTTATTTTAAAATCACTTTGGCACAACTGACAGAAGCAAGTAGCAGCTTGCTTCCATTTGTTTCCAAAATAACATGGTAAGAGTCATAAGTTTCAACTGCTGCAGATAATTATTAGGTGCATTCATTGGGAACATAGGGAAAGAGCGTCTGTGAGCTACATCTGAACTCTGTACTTAAGCAATAAAAATTTTATCAAACTGCAAAAAACTAAGTCATTTTAACGAGCACATTCCAAAGGTGCTGGATTTATGAGGAGACCCCAGGAAACTTTGATTGAAATTGCTGTCTCTGATTGTAGTTCTATATTTTATTGGTGCCATATTGTGAACAGTGCTGCTGCCAAAGTGAATGGGAAAGCAGAATAACAGACAGAGTTAACCCACAAAGGTTACCTCTTTTTATAATATCCATGATGTATTGCATTAAAAATGCCTTGAAAGCCATCCTATTTGCAGTTTTCAGAAAGCATTTTTTCTTAAATTAAGTTACGATTTATCTGAACAGGGCAGAAAATATGAAAGCCCCTGAAAGACTTTAGTATTGATTTTTCTCAGAGTATTTGCTAGCTCTTGTTTTCTCATTTGTGTGCTCCTTGATGGAACAGCCTAGAGCTGTGCACTGATCCTGAGACAAAGCTTTAGCAGGATGAGAAGAACAATAGTGAGGGGCAGTATTGTGGGGCTGATCTTATAATAGGAGTTTTGCCTGAGTAAACAAGGACATCAGGTTTGGGTTCTGGGATATTTACTTTTTTTTCTTCCTGGTTCCAGAATTTAAACAAAATTTAAATCACCTGGAAAATTATTAGAATTTTATTAACTATTATGCCTTCCCCCAACTAAATAAACACTGTAGTAGCCATATGTGATGAATGACTTGAATATTCTGAAGGCATGAGGTCAATGCTACTCTGTAAGTGTGTGCAGAATAATGAAAGTTATAAATCTTTTTTCTAGTATTTATGTTCTAAAAATAATTAAGCTTAAAGTCTACAAAAATTATGACATTAATGTGTATGTGTCGTGGCAGTGAAATAGATCTATTCAACCAATCTGTAATTATTGATTCTTTAAAAATTAGGCAACATACAATTGTTGATTATTACTAGCCATCGATGGTAGTTGAGTACCAGTTGCTCATTAATAGCTGTGTCCTCCCCCTGACAAAATACTCTATTACATCAGCCATTAAACTATTACACCATAGCTTCCACGTACCCTATTATAAATGTAGACTGTATCTTTCACTTAATACTGCATTATACTCAGCCTCTGAAAATAGTTCTAGTTGAGAGATTGAGCTCCAAATATTTTTTCATTGCACTGGATTATTATTTTTCTCCTAGTTTATCACATTCATGTTGTTTAATGATAAAGCAACCACATGAAGATTAGATTGTACAGAATCTTCATTGGCTGTTGCCCTCTCTAACATGTTTGAGTAGTCTAATAAAGGATGGAAGATAGGATTCAAGGACTATCTCTTCAACTCTGCTGATTTTTTGTGTGGCTTTATAGAAGTCACTTGAACTTCACTGAACCTTAGTTTATGCTTTGGTGAAATTAGAACTAATGACATGTAAACAAGTTTAATTGTTTTTAAAGTGCTTTGAAATCCTTGTCTCAAAGTTATCTTAGAATTTGTTTCTTCTTACATATGTGGTATCATCTTTCCAATCTAATATTGGTAAGTATACTACTATAGTTTTAATAATCTGCAATAAAAAACCTCCCAAAACCTCCGATCCAAACATTGCAGAACTGTAGGGAATTTTAGATGTGGTGCCAGACTTTATTGTCCTGATTCTCCATTGTCCTGTGCCTCGTGTATACATTTTGGGTTTGTAGTGTTTTACACGCACTTTATACTCGCGTTCCATTGACATCAGTGACTGCATGAGGTGCAGATCAATGGAGAATTAGGCTCAGTGGCTTATAACCATACCTAACGTATTTGGGTTTGCACTACTAAATTCTTCTTTATATTGTGTGGTTCTAATCCTCCCTCATTTCTTTGCCTTTTTCTTTATGTCTCTCTTCTTTTTCTTGTTTAGGTTCTGCATGTGACAAAGATAATGAACAGTATGTGGAAGGGAGAGACCCAGCTGACTGGCACGTAGGCCTGAAGGTAGCATGGGACATAAAGACACCTGGACTGGCAATACCCCTTCACCCAGGAGACTGCTATTTTATGCTGGGTAATTTTCAAAGGTTTAGGAATGCAAATGTTTCTATTGAAAATATAGGGCAGACCATCAACGGGAGTAAATTATCATAGCTCCATTGATGTCAGTGGATGTGGGTGACTTACAACAGCTGAGGATCTGGCCAGAATGTGTAATTACTTTGTGGCTTTTTTGGTCTTCGGAGACTGTTTTCTTTAATTTTTCTTGTTTCTTTCTTGTTAGTGGTGCAGAGTGAAGTTTACCTGTAAGCCTTTCCCTGACTCATGCTCAGATTGCAATTGAGGTTAGCTTCAGCACAATAGGAAAATTTCTTCAGCTTGTACTTTAAGGATAAACTACTTGTGTGAGAAGTTGAGGTGTTATTTCTTATTTTTAATGGAAGCTTCCTCTTCCTCCTTTCAAGACACAGTTTCCTGGGGAACAATAGCCATCTACTTCATTGTCTTATAACAAAATCTCCCCGAAAGTGCGGTTTTGGGTGAAGATGGACTATACGTGTATGTCATTTGTTTTTAAAATGTCCATATATATAGCTATAAAAACAAGCTGTGTATATTGCTGTTGTCCTTTATATTTCTGACTCCTCGGCTCAGGATGAGATTTTCTTAGTACTTCTTCGCACTGTTTTCTGATGATGTGTTGGTCACCTGCTTTAAGTATGAGCCTTTCTCTCATTCTGTTACATTTTTGACCAGTGTGTATTCAAGAATACCCTCCTCCAATGTTGGAATTATGCTGTAGAATTGAGTTGTTCTATTCCAAAAAGGAGCCTGGATGCATCACTTGTTTGAGGGACAAAGAGAATTAAATCGGGCCCACTGGTTCTGGCAGCTGAAGTCCAACATTGCTGTTAATAGTACAAGGCAGCAAGTCAGGGAACATAAGTAGGTTCATTCTGGATTAGCATTTCCTACTAATTAAATCACCTTGTGAATAAACCGCAGCTACATCACACCATGAGCCATGTGACCTAAAACTCAGACAATCATTGTGAGACTGCAGTGATTGCCTGTATTGGCTGTTCAGAGATTGGTGAAACCAACACCCTTGTTGACACGCCCAGTTCATGCACTTCTGATATGTTGAGGCCCAAGGTACTTCCACAAAGCAGCTCTTCCTACCTGCTTACTTATTGGGGTAGTTTTCCTTTTTGCTTTTCCGCATTGTCTATCAGGTGAAACTGAACAACTTAGTTACCACAAGTGAATTTTTTTCAGAGTGCCTGCTAATATCTTGTACCTCGTTCTGCTCTTAGCTACACCTCTACAACCCTACTGAGGTCAACAGTGTGGCATATGTGTAACTAAAAGTAGAGTGTGGCCATATCAGACTTGAGCATCTCACAGAATAAGATACGGAGTTGTTTGAAATCCTTGAATACTGTGATAAAGAAGATGTGTCTAACTTTTCTTCTTCCATTAGGATGTGGGCTAGCAGTCTTGAGAGAGAGAGATTTTTTTTTTAAAATCAAAGTGAAGGTTATGTGACAGTTAATAATTCCCTTTGTAAGAGTTTGTAATCCATCTTTGTGCAATAGCTATTCTAACATCAGATGGGGAGATTCATCTAATTCTTATTGACTGTAAAGTTTATGCCTAATCAGCCTTGTTGTCCAGCTGATTCAGAAGACAAATTGTGGAATGGATGTTCATCATCAGTGATTTTAGTACTGTTTATTTTAGTACTGTAAATCATAGCTGGCTGAACTTTCAAATGGTAAGGACATTCCTTATTCCCCTGATAGGAGTTAACTTTATATACTGTGGCTCAGGCACTGCTGGAAATGCTATATAAAGGACGGGTCAAAAATGTATTTTATTTAACACCTAACAACATCCTGATCATGTTTAGGTGGAAACAGAGGACATATTAAACATTTTTCCAGTTATGGTGTATAAATCACTCTTTCGTATTAATACTTCATAGAAAACTACTGTTTGGGACTCTGTAGAGCAGGTGTTAGATATTCTCTTCTCGGTTTCTAAATCATTTACAATTACCTTTTAGCAGGATTAACAAAAACATCTATTTGAATTTAACAGCAGTAATAATATAGAAGGGTCCATCCTAGAAATGAAACTTTCTGACTAAATCATATCTATTTTATTAGTTGAAGTGAGTGACTTAATATAGCTGGTAATAACCTGTAATTAAGGGACCTATATTAGCATTGGGTTGTTCTGTATCTTCTTCATGTTGTTGGTTTGCAAGCACACTATTTTAAGAGTAGATACAAATGTGGGATGACACAAGGTGTGATTCAATATATTGGGAGATTTAAAATATGGGAACATTATATAAGAGGTAGCACGATCGCAAATGACCAAATACTAGTTAATTTATCCTGTATTTCTGCATTTCACGCATTCTAGAATCTCATCTTCTCCTTCTCAGTTACCTGGGGTACTTCCTCTATCATGGCTGGAAAACAGTGGAAACAGTTAGAGAACATGCTGTTTGATCCATCTGGAATTTGTACCATCTGGACTTGTACCAGTGTCACTTTGGGAATCAGCTAGTAGATGCTGGTGGAGGGTGGGGGCAGCATGTTTAATGTTTACAATAGGGGGAATGACAGTCGGGACTTCCACGTACTCTTCCTGACTCTGTCTTTGACTCATGTGATGGTGGTAAGTCGCTTCACCTTTGTGTGCCTCAGTTTTTCCATTTGTAAAATAATATGTTTACTTTACATGGGTGTTGTGAGAAAAGATGTCAGATTCAGCATGCTGTTAATCATTTAAAAGCCAGCATTTATCAACAGTTATTGCATAGTGGTATCTGAGATACTCTATTTCCTTTTCTTATGTGTGTACAGGAAGTAGCACATCTCTTCATCAATACCATTGTGTGAACATTTGATAAATACTGACATTTTTAATGATAACTTCTCAAAATACAAATTATTTTTATTATTAATAAAAGCCGACAGATGGCTAGGTCAACACTATAATTTATACAACCTCCATTAGCCTAGAAGTAGAACCTTAATTATAAGGTTTTTGTTGGACAGTTACATACTTTGGTTGTGGCCATCTTAGCACAAAATAAATACAATCCAAATGTGCTGTTTCCATGAACCTCTGCATTTATTTTTGAGAGACATAGTATTATAAATTGTATATTTTTTTTTAATAGCATTTCAAAGAACAGGAAAAAGTGGATGAATTTTTTTGCCCTTCAAAAAAAAATATAAGGGTGTCCTACTCACAGGCACTTCTGTGATATGGTTTGTTGTTACTTTGAGAAGAATTGTGTTTAAAAATGCAATATCTAAGTTTAGCTTTACACTTGCTTTCTCAGCTCTTGTCTTCAGTTGAAATATGCTGCTGTATTAAGTCATGTCTTGAACTGTATATTATGTGCCAAATATCAGGTGTTCAAATTTGTCCATTTTAAGATATGCTACCACAATATCAAAAAGAACTTTTGATTTAAGGGGGTGGGGAATTAGCTTTAATGTGGCATTACTTTTTTTTTATAATCTTTGTTTTTCCTCACTTGAAAAATAGCCTTGCAGAGGAACTGCAAACCTGCTGCCTGATAACTGGAATCTGAACTTCATAGCACTTATGAAACGGAAACAGTTTAGCTCAATTTAGAATAATATATTGGTCTGTAGAGGAAACACATACTGAACACTGCTGTCTCAAGTACACAGTCAAGGGGTGTCTAATATGAAACGTGTTGGGTGCATGTAATAAATCCACAGCACGTGGAGGTGAGTGAAGAGCCCCATCTGCTGTGGTCGAGAGCATGCTTAACTAGGGTTGTCATGGTCTTACTATTAAATTGGAATCTTTCCCCTAAACTTGACCAGATTTGCATGACCAGATTTGCAAATAGATTTACAATTTTCACTAATTTTCCTACCATGACTTCAAAACATACTTAACAAAAATGCAATCTGAACTTTTTCAAGGGGGGAAGATTTACTTTTCCACAGCTGTTTCCCATAGATCAAATGTTGCTTGAAGGTTAGGGGTTTAAAGCAGCTTGAAGATGAACTTGATGGTGTCTTTTTTTTCCTAAACAAATTATAGTTCAAGGAGCATCAGAAATTATTTTCATTAACCAGAATTTAGGCCCACACGTTGTGGGGGTGGGCTGTGGTTGGAGATATTCCTTTAATGGAAACATTTCCACATGTATGTAGTGGCTCATTTAAACTATTTCTAGCCAGTTAATCTGCTTGTACTTCTATATATTAACTTGAACCTTTTTTGCTCTTTAGCATCTTGAATATGTTTTTTTTAACTTTATTGTTTGCTCTCTTGACTCCATGTTTTATCTAAATTCTTTTTCCCATGATTATTAAGCCTGTTAGCCCCAGAAATTTATTTGTTGTTATGAAACTTTGATCATATAGTTTGGCAAATCCCTGACACATTGTTCAGTTCAATCTTTTAATCCATTCTGTGTTTTCTTTACGCACACACTTTTTGGGTTTAAATACTAGAAGTGTTCCTTGATTAGGGCCAGTTATATATTCCACCTTTTCCCCATGGAGGTGATGAAAGGAGTAGAAGATAGTCCTTTGGCCTATAATTTCTTGGTGGGGAGGAAACGGAACATGTGTGGGGTCATTCCCCCAACGTTGCTGCAACAGCCCCATAGTATGCTACCTGTATGTTTGTATCTCTACTATTGAAATGCAGGGATGAAGCTGTGTGTGAAGGGGTAGACCAATGGAGAATTGCTTCCTGTAGCATTACCTCATCCATCCAGACTTGTGGATTGTGTAAGATAATGCTGATAGAATCAAGTTTGTGAATTGTAACTAGTTTTGCAAGTTCAGTTTGTGATGTGCACAACAGATGGCACTGCAAAAGAGTCATTCATCCCTACTGATGCATGCATCAGATGGTTTTTTGGGGAAAAAGGCTTATGTGTATCTTACTTTTAGAAACTGTCTTTTGCATAGCTCATTATAATGGGATACCAATCATTTAAAAAACCTTCTTGGTTTCACTCACATGACTAAATCCAAATGGAACTGGAGAGATGGCAGA